TTCTGTTATAAACATTCACTGTCCTCACACTGCAATATTTTTTTAGATCTCTGTATTTTTTGTCCATACAAACATCAGTAATGTGGTCAAGATGTTTGTTTATCTTTCCTTTCAGAGCATCTGGATTTCATATCTTGAGTCATTCATTCATCAAATTTTTATGTAAATGTTTTCCTTTTTTATAGTGCTTTCATCTTCTGTCTTGGTTTAGGTATCTCCTCCAGTGACTGATTGGAGGTCTAGTCTCCCAAATGTTCTAAGATTCTTAATGTTTTGATGATCACATTTAAAGCCTTAATGTATCTGGAATTAAGTTTTGTTTGTGATATAAAGTAGGGGTACAACTAAAAACAATTGTAGTTTTTAAATTTTAGCATTAGACATTACTTATTTTGTAAAAATCCAAATACATAACCTGAATCAGCAACTCAGAAGTATCCACCAGGCAGTTCTTCTGAGTGAACTCAAGGATGAAATAGGAATTATTAGCCTTGCTACTATGTATGATGGAGTACTGAACCAAGGAGGCAGTGTTACAGCTCCATAAAACAGTAAAACTCAGAGAGGCCAAAGAAATCTGAAATAATGATATATTCTCAGAATACAAGCAAAACCAACCTATAGGGAAGAAGACAGCATGCTTTTTGTAAATAAAATAATCATTCTTGATTAATCTATTAGAACTCTTCATTGGGGTTGTACTAGTTTGCTAGGGCTGCCATAACAAAGTACCACAGACTGGCTGGCTTAAACAACAAAAATTTATTTTCTCACAATTCTAGAGGCTAGAAATCGGAGATCAAGGTGTCAGCAGGGTTGGTTTCTTCTGAGACTTTTCTCATTGGCTTGTAGATGGCTGTCAACCTTTTCTTCACATGGTCTTACCTCTGTGTGTGTCTGTGTCCTAATTTCTTCTTTATAAGGACACCTATCATATTGGATTAGGGCCCACCCTATCTCCAAATACAGTTACATTTTGAAGTACAAGAGGTTAAGACTTCAACATATGAAGACACTTGAGCACATAACAGAGGTTAATGCAATGAATATGATTTTATTTAAGTTTTTAAAATTTGACAAGATTTTTTACATTGAAGACTATTTAAAGAAGTAACCAAGGAAGTGAGATTACCAGTCTGTTAAATCAATGAACAAATAAACAAATGAATAAATCAATATATGATAAAGTAACTTAGGTTAGAGGTAAAAAACTACAATGTAGAACTACAAAGCACTTTTTCTAGAAGAAGACTGTAAGGACTGGTTTTGAGACTAATATTAAATTCTTACAAAAGACAGAAAGGAGTACAGAATAAAATATTCATATTTATAGGTGTTATCCTAGGTAATGAAAAATCAAATCATAAGGTTAAAACTTAAACGTTCATTTCAGGTTATATATAAAAAAATTTTTTTAAGTGAAGTAAATGTAAATAAGTAAAAAATATTATATTTATAGGTCAGTGGCTCTGAATGGGGGTAGAGGGTAGCTGGATGGAATGCCTTCTAGGGATGAACATATCAAAACTAGGGGGTGGGGGCAGTGCTTTTTCAAATTATACTTTCTGAAACTTTGATTTTCTATCACCCCCTCAACTTTACCCTGAAAATTACTGCTGTAGTGCACCACTTGATTGAAGAGTATATTAATAATGTCCTTATATGGTAAGAAATTATTCAAACTACACTTACATCATCATGGTCTCTGAGCAATCTAACATGACCTAGGAAAGGGACTCTAGTGACATTATGTCAACCATGTCCTGAAGACCTTAACCCAATATGCTGCTGTGACCAGAGAGGCTATGTAATGTTGGGTGACCTGAACATTAATTAATTTTGGGCCAGACACACAGTATCATAAAATCATCTGCCTCTGCCCTTTGAAAAAGCATCACAGAAATCTGAAACCCATTCCCCACAATTAAGAACCAGTGACTATAACCCCCTCATTTTATACATAGGAAACTAAGATCCAGAGAGGTTAAAATGACTTGTGTACAGACACTGAGATAGTTATTGGTGGATCCAGGCACCAGGTCTCCTAAATTCCAATGTAAGACTCTTAACTACTATTTTAGAAACCATTAATTCCTACTTCTGGTATTCAGGATTTTTATTCAATGTGCAGTTCTGGTCACTACAACTTAAAATAAATATAATAAAGCTAAAAAAGTGTCTAAAGAGAAACAAATGAGATAGTCAAAAGAATTAAGGATATACTCTTTTATTTATTTAGATCCTCATTCCAGAAAGTCTTAAAAGATGCAGATAATATAGAAAGATAAAGATTAAAACAGGAAAATGAGAATTAGGAAACTAAAGGTAGAAAAGGAAGATGAAACCAAGAATGTGGCTATCATACAAAATACATAACATGAAGTTCTAAACACTTGCTGGAGGTGGGCCACAAATTGGCTCTAAGTAGTAGTCTAGCATCAATATGAAGAGAAAAATACAGTTGAATATTTAGTGTCTTTAAGGTAAAATCCAAACAGCAATTCAGGAAAAGCACAACTGGATTGAGAGAAAAATTCTCCTATGCATCTTTAAATAGAACATTATGAATTATAATCATTAGTACCCTTTACAATATCCACAACAATTAAGTTTCATAGAGATTTGATATGGATTGCCAAAAGTGCAATCCAGAAAAAACAATTCTACAGAGGCCAATAAAATGCCAGCTGTGTACAGGGGAAATCTGGCTTAATCCAGGGACAGAATTAATAGAAGTACACAGAGTACTTTTCAGTCTCTCTTTGGTCTGGAAAGAGATAAAATATAACAAGAATAACAAAAATGAAGCTTTTGAGTAGTTTAAGAAAATGAAGTCATAAAGCCCAGAAATGTATACAAATTTAAGGTCCAGATGATTTTCCTTACTAAATGAAAAGGTTCTTAAATCTTAAGGTTAATGTCATGTCTCTTAATTCTTTGGTTTGCCCATTAGAAACTGAATCCTGGGCTGTCTAGGGCAATGATCAGTTTAAGAATCCTAAAAAAAAAAAAAAAGAATCCTTATGTTTTTCAAAGAGGTTTGACTTTGGAAAATATTTGGATAGCTATTCCAGTTACCCCTAGAGAAGACACTTAACCCACCCAAGTTTCAGTTCCTCTTCTCTTCCTCACATTAGGCTATTAGATTCACTTTTCAAATTCTTAAAAATTCAATTTATCACAGACTAAATTTATTTGAGTCCCCAGAATCATATGTTTTAGCTGCATATTTAGGGACTGAAATGCCAGCTTTTGAGACCTCTGAAAAATATTCATACTATTTCTGACAAGCCTGTTAAACACATAAATAGCACCTTGGGAAACCAGGAAGTGTCACTGCTCCAGAAAGGAAACATGGTAGACAAACAAGGAGAGGGAAAAGTGGAATAAGCCTCTGGCTAACAGCTTCAGAATATGAGCCCTGGAGAAATGAAGATCAACACTCTGATCTGAGATGTTTAATTGAGAGGTGGGTTGTATGATAGGGGAAGGGCTACGGCCAGTTGTGGCTGCCAGTAGCAGAATGCTCAAGATTTGAACTCTGGTACAATGCCTAGAAGAATAGAATGGTAAGAGGCTATAAAGTAAAAAACTGGATCATCTAGGTGGTCATACTGAGTTGGCAGTGGAGGAGATCCTCAAGTTCCCAGATGGGCCCGAATCTACAGTAGAGGGGCTCAAGCAAGGCTGGGCGGGTAGACCAGGTAGGACTCCAGGTTACAGTCAAAGTCCTTGAAGAGCATGGACTCCAATGGACTAGGCTGGGTAGTTTGTGTCTCCATGACAAAGTTCATAGGCTGCTTCTGTAGGAGCTCTGGGTCAAAGGCCACACCCCGAAAGAAAGGGTGGACCTGGAAGTGATGCAAATGATGTAGACGCTGGAGGGGATTCTGGCATAAGAGCTGAAGGGAAATAGAGCATGAAGGCTGAGGGAATGGGATAGGGAAGGGGCTGAAGAGAGAAGGTGGAAAAGGAAAAAAAAAGTTCATGGAGCTGTGGAGGGCAGGAAGAAGAAAGGATTTGTAAAAGAGGGAGACAGGCTAATTTGGGGGCAAAGGTAGGAATAAAGGAGCTGTATTAGTAAGAAAGCACTCACCCACCCCTCAGAAATGACCTGTTATGGATGGGGAAGCGGTTTGGAGGAGCAGGAAACAGGAATGAAATGTGAACTGCTGGTTAGAGGACAAGTAGTGAGGTAGTACTTGACCAAGTTGGAGCCCACCCCCCGCAAAAAAAAAAAATAATCAGAGGAATGGGTTAGTACCACTTTAATGATAGGGAAAGGAGAGAAGGAATGGTTTGGTAGTCGAGAAGGAAAGTCGTGCTCAGCCTTACCTCATGGAGCAGAAGAGAGAGTCCCTGGTTAAGAGAGGCTGGGATCTCAGAGTCACAGTGGGTCACACTTGCCAACATGGCCACGTGATCTCTCTCTGCAGCCACTGGGAACTGAGTTAAGGGGTTGGGGGGTGGGGAGGGGGGTCATTCCTTAGTAGGAATTAGGCAAGGTTTCCTAAGGTCTTCCTTCTTCCCACCACAGGGCAAAGCTCTTCTCTGCCCAGCATCACTACCATTCTCTCACCTTTCCAGTTGCCAGAGAGAAAAGCAAGATACCCAGGGACCACCAATCAGCAGCATGGTTGTAAGGTCCTCCACTCAGGACCTCTGGGGCTACAGATTTGAAAGATACTTGTCATTGACATCTGTTGGCTATCCTGCCCAGTGCTTACCCACTAGCTTTAGTCCCTCTTACCCATGTATTGAAGAGTGCCGCAGATAGTATAGGCTCGAGCTCCCTGGGACAAGTGGCGGGACAGACCAAAGTCTGTCAGTTTCAGATGTCCTATAAAAGATAACCCAACAGCACCACTCTGTTTCACCCCTCATCAGCCATGACTGATTCCCACACTGAAGTACCTCTCGTTCTGGGGCTAGGAAAAGAAAAGGACTTACCTCTTTCATCCAGAAGGATATTCTCCATCTGAAAAATCACAGGTGAGAAATTATTCATCTTTCTTTCAAACCTCTTTCATCATGTATACCCCCCATCTGAAGATGCCCTACTCAGCATTCAAGTCTTTACTTGGAGGGCCCTTGCCCAAAGCCTTAGCACCCATGAGGGTCCCAAGGTCAACTGTTCTCAGCTCCCTCCTGCCTTCTTGGACCTGTAGAACTTCTTACTGAGGCCCCTCCTCAGACAGAGAAAAAAAGCACTTTACCTTCACATCTCGATGGATGATGCCCAAGTCATGGAGATAGCCTGTGGATGACAGCAAGCATGGGGTACACTGAAGCTCTCCTGTCCTTTCCAATTTCCCTGATAGCCCTACCACATCCCTATCCCTGTTCTTTGACCTCTTTGAGAGTTAGTATCAATTCTCTTCTTTCTCCGCCACCCCTTAGTTCTTCCCTCATTTCCATTACCCCTCCTATTTCACTTACACAGCACCATGACCAGCTCAGCAGCAAAGAGACGGACGGAAGCCTCAGCAAAGCAGCCAACAGCGGACCATATGGAGTACAGATCTGTGCTGCAGTAGCTGCACACTGCAAAGCACCAGAAGTCTAGGCAATATTTGGGGGCTACCATGCTTGGGCTTGAGGCATTGTAGGCCTCCTGCACACACTGATGCCACCTGTGATTCCCTCCCCCTTTGGGAGAGAAGTGCTGTGAGAAGGGGAATAGAGCAAAGGCAGAACAAGCAAAGGGTTGGGTAATCTCAGGTGGGGAGTATGGTAGAAGGACCCTTGGAAATGAGGCCAGTCACTCACTAATGAAGAGGTGCCGTTTTCCCTGCCAGCTGTCCCCCAAACTGTGTACAAAAGGATGGTTGATCTGTCGCTAGGGATGAAGAAAACAGGAAATTAGGGAAGACAGGATCACTGAGAATCAACCAGCCAAGAAGTCAGAATATACCTACTTGTGCAGAAAGGGAGCTGCTGCCCCATCTCTCAGTTCAGGTGAACTAAACTGCCTGCCTGATAATCGGAACCAGCACTGGGACTACTAAGGAGCACACTGGGACATGCTGAAGAGATTTTCCTGGCAAGACCCAGAATAACTCTGCTGATAGCTGCTTTTCCCAGGATCTACTTTGGTTGAAGCAGAGGGAGGGGCAGAACCAGGAAGAACAGTAAAGTTGGACAAGAAAAGAACTTTCTCCAACTGTATTTTAATTCTTCCTAGGATCCTTTCCAGGGCTCTGTACATACCTGGATGCTAACTTCCTCTTTGCACTGTCTCAGGATGTCCCTCTGGAGGACCTTGACCTTGGGCACCACCTATAAAAGGAGAGGTGATGACTTCTAGAGGGGAATAGTGTTATTGAATTGTTTATTCCTCTTAACCTTGCTGGAACCAAGACTGGAGCCAAGAACTAGAGAATAATGTGGAAGAGTACCTAAGTCCCTACCTTCACTGCAAAGACTGCTTTCCGTCCACAATCTAGCACCTTGAAGACAGTTCCAAAGGAGCCTTTAGCCACAAGGCCTAAAATCTGTATAGAAAACAGGGATATTGAGATGGGTTGTTTCTAGATTTACCCCCAAGACCGAGACCCCTTCCAGGGATTCCATTGACCTACCTTCAGCTGCTGATGCTCCCTAAGGGGTCTAATGGGAAACTCAGGCAGAAAGAGGGTGATGAACTGAGGCACTGGCCACTCAGACAGAGGCTTCTCTACTAGCAGTGCGGCTGGCTCCCGGAGCTCCTGATGCAGGCACGGAGGCTCCCGTAGTCTCCACAGTTCTTCCAGACCTGACCTGGTGGTCCCCACACCTGACCAGAGGCTCTTCCAGCCTCGGACCCAGGGGCCCTGGATGTTGCCACCCTGCTGAGAACCAGGGGAGCCACTCTAAAACATCTGTCCCAGAGGCATTACAGGTTCTGTCCATCTGAGCAGGCACTCCCTTAAATCCCAACCCTAGAGATACATTTTTGAAACCAGGCAAAATTGCTACTACAGTCCTTGTTTTGGCCAAGGCCTAGATTTCCTGGACACAATTCAAAGCCTCTAGGAAAGCAATATTTGGATATTTTCCCTATCAGGCATCCAAGATTCAGCCTGCACCTCCCAGTAGGTGGCTGGGTTACTTTTATAGTATAGCCTCTCTGCCCTACCTCCACAGTGGGCATCTTCACCAGTCACTTCCCAGGCCTCAAGCCCCTATAGGCCTCCTTCACCTCCCCTATAACAGGCTGCAGGGCCCCACAGCCTACCTTATGAGGAACAGCCACCTGGGCGTGTTGCCCCTGCCTACAGCTTACTGTTCCCATCTCCAGCCTCTGCCTCTTCTCCCGCTAAATCTGCTGTCCTAGTTATATAAGCAATTCCTCCCCCTGATGCTGCATTACACAAGCCTCGCCTCTGCCTTGCTGTTCATGACTAGAGATGCAAGTGATGCAGCCAAACCTCACTTTTATCCCCAAATCCTATCACCCCTGGTTAAAAATACGTTTATAGCCAGAACTAAAATGTGCAGAGACCTATCAGCAATGGGGCCAGTGTCACACTAGAGCTGGGAAATATCTGTGATAGTTTTAGGCAGGAGGGAAGAAGCCACCCTCCTTAGAGTGGCAGCTAGAGGATGTGTCTTAGATTGATGGGAGGAAAGGAGACAGACAGGTTGAACCCATGCACTCAATACACACACACACAAAAACAGCATCAAATTTAAAATATATTTTTTCTCTTTAAATCATTTTCTTTTGATTTTCCAGGGCATACCCCAGGGGAACCCATGGCCAGCCCTGGCTCCTACTGCCATTTCTCCAAGTGAACTTGGCACAGATTGGGGAGGGGCTGATTTCCCCCCCCCGAGCACTAATACCTCCTTCATACAAGGCAGTGGAATGAGGGACAAAAGATCAGCCCTCCCCACCACTAACTTTCTGGCACAGGGAGAGCAGTTACACTTAAGAGAAATATATATATATATATATATATATATATATATGTGTCTGTTTATAAAAATTTATCAGGCCGGCTGAGTGGCTCAGTTGGTTAAGAGCTCACTCAAGAGTTTGAGCTCTGAGCAACAGCGGTTCGATTCCCGGCCCGAGCTGAGCAGCTGCTGAGCTGCCAACAGGTAGCAGGATGGCTCAGCCAAAAAAAAAAAAAAAAAAAAAAAATTTATCATACTTGATCAGAACCGTCTCCTACCCTTTCAGTTGGCCCCAAGGGAACCAGATCCTAGTCCTGGGGCCATTCCCTGCGTCCTACGCTCTTGATGCCTCTCTGGCCCTGGACCTGCTGATGAGTGCGAGGTAGAACTCAGCGTTATTATCCACCATGCTCTGCAGAGAATAGGCCAGCTGCTAAAGAGTAGTTCCTCTCTCCACAGTACCCTGTGGGCTCCTAACCTCCACGAATCCTGCTGGATGAAAGGAAGCACCTCCCACCCCACAAGTCCCTGGGGCCTAAGCCAGAGCCAAAGTCAGATCCTGTACTGCAGCCACTCCAGGATTGCTGGGTCACTTGCGCCTGCCAAAGATGGACTTCTTGCCAGGGTTCTTGTTGCCCACACTTAAACCAATGAGGAGCCGGGCTTTCTCCTCCTCTTCCTGTTGTTGCATGTTGAGGTCTGATTTAGTTTCCAGCTTTCCACGGACCTCAGATCCTGTTGCAGGCTTCAGCCTTAGCTTCTCTTTGATTACCTGATAGGTTAGAAAGGAGTAAAATGGAAGGTAAATATTAGTGGAATGGGCAGAACAAATCACAGTGAAAACCAAGTCAATAAAGATTTATTAAATTTACATGAAGGCACAATGTGGAAATTCAAATCCTAAAACGATCTCTGCTTTCAAGAAGCTTACATTCTAATTACAACCCATTCTAAACCTGTGGTTGTGTCGAGCCCCCAGTTCCCTAAAAATCAACAGTAGTTAACATATATGAAACACTCAGTAAATACTCAATTTAATCATCTGAGCAAAATCAAGGTGAGGTCAGAGGTAGGAGATGCTCACTTCATTCACCTGCCCCATCCCAAGGCTGCTTGTTAATATGTCCTACAATGAAATGCTCCTGAATAAAGAGGATCTGCCTGCCAGCCCCTACTAACCAAACAGCCATGAACTCTGCTGACATACCTGGGCAACCAGGGCTTTGCGGCTGTCCCTCTTGACAGCCATGGCAAAGTCTAGCCATGTCCATGTGTTGTTGTGGTACTCCAGACAAGGCAGCACCAGGTTAAGGTCACCCCAGTCCACGCTGTTCTTCTCACCCTGCAAAAGAAGGATGGGGAGGGGAAAGACAATGGAAAAAATATCAGCTGCCACATTTACTGCAAGCCAGTACTTGAGTCCAAGTCTAGTACCTTCCTGTAGCGGCAACCTACAGATACTGATTTCCCCTTACCTTAGTCTGTTAATGATACTGACTCCTGAGGGGAGCAGAGGAAACAGATTTACCACCCATAGGACAGCTTCACAAGATGAACTATCTCCCTGTCTTTAATCTCTGATGTTCTTATCTGATTCCCTTTCCACCCTGTTCTAGAAAGTGCAGGGGAGGAGCAAACCTTGTAGCTGACACACAGGGGAACCTGTGGAATCTTTATGTAGATGAAGGAGTTGTTCATGGCAGCTCGCTCTTTCATCTTGTCAATGTCATCCACAGGGTGCTAGGAAAGAGAGTGAGTCCCTAAAACCATCAGAAGAAACTCAGGACCCCAAACATCTCTCTTTTCACCCCTGGAGTGGACTCAAAGGCAACAGAAGAAATCCCCAGCCAGGCCAAACAGAGTACCCCAAGACTCTTCCATTTTTCTATCATCGGGTATGTACAGTACCTCAGGGGCTTTGCGAAATGACCTTCTGACCCCAGAACTCCGATTCAAGCCCTGTGCCACACCCTTCCCAGGGCCCAGTGCTGCTGAATCATCTGTTGCAATCAGCTGCCGAGGCTTCACCACTGGTATGCCTATGAAAAAGCAAGCACACCAGCTATTGTCCTCTTTCTGAAGCTTCAGCTGTCTCTGAGGCTGCTACTCCAGTCTTCTGGAGCTCCACCATAAAAGTTCTCACCAGTGGTCACCAGTTTGGATTTATCTTCTTCATCACCAACCTCATCATCTTCCACACTTCGGCCAGGAAAGAAAAAGCCCATTATTCTATGGAAGAACTGGTGGGTCAGCTGGATGGTGAGGGGCACCACATTTACCTAAAGAGGAAAAAGGCTGAAGAAGCAATTAAGCTCAGACATCATCCCTCGGTTTACCTACCCCTAACAGCATAATACAATGCACAGATAGCTTTTGATTACCCTTTGTTCCTGGGTCCCCAAAAGACTGTTTACTAACCTCAAAGTGCTCCTTAACAGAGATACCCCCAACAGGGGGCCGGACTTTGCTGAAGAGGCGGAGGGCTAGCTGTCGCCCAGACTGGCAGGAGCTCTGGGGCCGCAGGACTACCTGTAAGATAGAGTGTAAATCAACCCACAAATCCTCTGCAGACTGAGAAGAAAAGCAATGGTCTTGCTAAGATGGGCCAGCTTTTACCATCTCAGCTCACCCATTGTTTCCTATAGTGGGTTTATGTGGAAGGACCATTACAAATACCCTGTGCTAGAAGTATGTGAATGGGCTGGGAATGGGGAAATAAAACTTGCCTTATAGACAGCATTGGGGAGGAGGTTGTTCATAGTGAACCAGCCCAACTCCAAAAGATGTTCTGCTGTGTCATCAGACTTGTTCACCTATAAAGACAGATTCCCCCCAACCCCAATTCACTATAAGAAGCCTTTCTCAGAAGCTTGCTAGAGAATTGCTACATATCCTATTTGTTTTCAGGTTCTCCACATGCCTAATTCCAACCTTTGATATCTCTTTCAACCTCATACAGTTAAGGTACCCTCTAATCCAGTGTTTCTCATGGGTGCTACTGACCAGGGCACTAAATGCCAGTAGTACTTTTCAGTCACTGTGACATTAAAAAATTATTCATTTCCAGATGGTACGGGGGAGAGCGCTGGGTAATGAACAGTGAGTGCCCTCTCCTCCATGCCATGGGTAATTGCAGGAAAGCTGAATGCCAGTATAGAATTAATGATTCGATTCCAAGCAGGACTTGGAAGAATATGTACCTCTGGGCCACATTTCTAGGGATAATCTTATTCAATGAGGGAAGCATTTGATCAACCTCATCTATATCTGTATTATTTAATATCACAAACAGATGTATCTAAGGGAAACACTGCTCATGTTTCATTAATAATCTTTAATACCATTATTAATAGTCCTATAATAATTAGCCTCTTTTTGTTTATCTCTTTTTAGTAAATTAGATTCCTGAGATAGGTCAGTGCCTCTCAATACACCTGCCTTTGTGTGACTGTATACGCCCAATACCTTGCTATAGAGGAAACGTTGCAGCTCCAGTTCAGCAATCCCTAGTTGTCCATCTTCCTCTGTCAGGCGCCATCGTGCCTGAGCAAAGTAGAACTCAGTGCGACGGACCACACTTACATCTTCCTGCTGCTTTCGCAGCTCCATCTTGTTGGCTTGTTGCAACTGGAAATCCTTAAAACACCTATAAATGAACAGGAGGGTCAAAGCCAATAAGGGCAATAGCATTTGGGTTGGGGGTGGGGTGGAATGCTCCAGAATGATGCAGGAAGTCAACCCAGAGTTGGACCTATTCTGGAACAGCTGTTCTCTAAATTTTTTTTCACTGGATTCATTGTTCCTCACACCCTGGGCCAGGGGAACACAAATCCCATCTTTCAGTTCTATAGCTTTTTGGTTAAGTAATTTCTTCCCACTAATAACCCCTATGATTATATCTGCAATTGTGTTCCTTATTGAGGTGCCTGAATCTACTACATCAGCCTTGGATAATGCACACTAGACCTAAAGACTATCAGAACATGGACAAGGAATAGAAATTGACTCCAGGTGGGGAACTGGAAAAGGGCAGGGAAAGAATGCTCTGTGGCACCTGATGAGGATATTAAGCTCTTCACTTTCCAGCTGTAGGTTGGTCTTCTCCTGGTTTAGCTGCAACTGAAGCTTTTGATTCAGGTCAAACAGGTTCTCATTCTTGCTGTCATCCTGCAAAGACTAGGGAGCCAGGACAGGAGAAACTGAGGAGATCTCCCTCATCCTAGGAGACCTCCTTGTCTTCAGACTACCCAAGTGACTACCTTCATGATAGAATACATCTGCTTTTCCAGCTGCCGTATTTGGGCCACATGCTGCCGCACGGCCTCCTGCAAGTGTAATATGCTGCTGCGCTGCTCCTCAGGATTGCTGGAAATCTCAAGCTGGAACCTGACCCGCTGCTTCTTTTCACTATGCTCCTGAAGGAATGGAAAAGGAAATGAACCAGATTTTCTAATAGATGAGTCTTGTAGTAAAGTGAAATAGAGAAAGGAACAATAAATGAGGATCTCTTATGGAAAGCTCACCTTTATCTGTCACCATTAGTAGCAAGAGTAAGGGGTAGGCCAATGCAGAAGACTGGGCACTGGATTTCACGATAAGCCAGTGCCACAGCGTAAGAATGGTAGAAGTGAGGAGTAGTTACTGTTTTTAGAGGTATCTACGTGACTGAGCAGAGGACTCACCGAGAAAAACAAATAAGCTCTACAGTCTCAGAGACACTCAAATCTCTTAGATAAGTGAAATTTCAACTGCTGCTGCTAGTAAGTGATGTACCAACCACAAGGCCCTTTTTCAGTCTGAAACATGGCTTTTCTTAATGAACCCCAAATAAAGCATAAGGTCTGGTGGTTCCTGGGAAGCTAACGGGTATTCTATAAGGGCTTATACTCACCTTCCGCTTGGGTTCCACATGGAGCAGCAGGTTGTTGACAATGTCCAGGATCATAGCATACTGAGCTGGATTGGTAGAGATTTCCAGCTCATGATGGATGAGGGTGAAGGTATCCACAGCCCCTAGGTAATTGTTAGCAGCTAAATAAGAGGCTCAAGTTTCTCCTTAAATATCTACCCCA